GGAGGAGGAGGAGAGCGGAGCGGAGGGCGGCGGGAATCTGGGTGGGAGTTGCAGTAGTTCAGGCGCGGGGCGCTAGTTGGGGGCTCCCGCAAGGCAGACAGCGGGGGATCTGCTGGGGAGCTGCCTGCAGCGCGCCGCTGTGCCCGCACTTCCCCACCAGCTCCCCTGCCTCCACTGTGTGTGCACCAGGGCGCTGGGTGCTCAGAAACACACGGCATGGCCAGGGTAGCAGGAATTCGATGCCACGAGCATGGGTCTCTTACCTGCATTGGTCACCCTCTTGGTGATAGGCACTATGCTGAGTGCTAGGAAGTGCAGGACGGTTCTGAGTTCTGCAGGAAACAGACAAGTGACTGACCCACATAACAGGATCATATGGGGATGATTAACACGCTACTTATGCTAACTTTCACAACAACTCAGAGGACCAGGGATTTTTCACATCCACTTTCTACAAGATTGCTGAGACCAGAGACAAGTCATTTCCCTMGATCCCAAATCAATGGAATTTTAACCGAGGCTCGCGAAGGTTCTCTGAGCAACTCTTTTCCCGTGGGCTTTTAAGTGTCTTCATATTCTGGCTTCCTTGCCAGTTTTTTCCTTTCTTCCCTCATGCATTCTCCTTTGTTGTTCATACTCTGCCCCTGGCTAAGGACAAGGGGGCAAGTGTGGGTGTTCCCAGATGGTAATCCCTTTCCCCCATCTCCAGCAGAGCCAGCAGACCTCTCTCTCTTTTTAGAAATTACTTCTATACCAGGAAGGCAGTAATCTCATTAGGATCAGACAACTACAGCCTGAAGGTGCTTTCAGAGTCTTGGCAATATATTTTAACCCTGAGAGAATAGACCTGCCATATCCAAGGGCCTCATACAGCTTCTTCATGGCCTTAGCTCCCTATATTATGCACAGCAGTAGATAGAGTAGAAAATAGTTAATGTGATGCCTTGGCATTCCCCATTCTTCCCTTTGCTTTGGGTTTGTCAGGGATGATCATGGGTATCAAGGGATCTGGACTTAAGCCCAGCTCTACCCTTCCCTGCTTCTCTGTGCTACCCCTTCTAGTTCCTTATCTTCTTCCAGCTCAGCTCCATAGATGCTTCTGCATGCCATGCCTCTGGAGCCCCTGAAAAGAGTCAGATCTGGGTCTTTCATGGAGCACCACACAGTTTTGTGGTGGAATCAGACACTGCAGTGAAAGGGGAAATACAGGGACCCAGACACCCATGGGGTACCATCTGAGGGGGCAGRGAAGAGTTCTGAGGGAGTAATATCCTCAAGGGTCACTGTAAGGTCAAATATAAAAACTGGATGGAATTGTTATTATTACTGGCCTGCTCTAGTGAAGGTACATTTTGGCCTCTATTTATCAGGAGAGTAAAGGGGAGGAATCCTTTGGGAGGGAAAGAGGCCKCCTGGAGACATAGACATCATCTGAGAAAGAAAACACTCTACTTTTGTTTTTGGAAAAACTGGGAAGCCTTGAACAATTTCCAAAATCCTTTTCCAGCCAAGAATTATTTTTCCCAACAACTTTGAGGGGTGATTGTACCCCGAGAGACAAGCACAATATCACACAGTGATCAACGGCTCAGGCAGGACCCATGTTTATTTAGCCAAGGGTCCTCCTTGGATTCTGATGAAGCCTGTGTTCCCCCATTCACAATAGTCCCATTTAACTGCAAAGATAAATTATTTAGAAGCACAAAGGATATCAATTCTATTGAATCATGATTTAGTCCTACATTTTAAAAAGTGTCAAATACCAAGATTTAGAGATGAGTCTATTAATTTATAATTTTGAGCTAGAGAAGGAAAATAAGCAATATTTCAAGATGTCTCTACTATAATGCAATATGAAAATATCTGTGATTTCTGTTGGTGGAGTTTTACTTTTATTGTGGAGTTTTATTTTTATTTTCCTTATGTGAGTAATAAAAGGAAATGCTAAATTCTGTTGGATATAAGTGAAAACAAGGTTGTAATTTTTCCCATATAGATTCATGTACTTTCTGCCTTCTACCCATGCATTCCTTGAGCTCTGTGGACCTTGTGTTAAAATCCTCTAGTTTCTCAGATGTAGCTCCTACTKTTATGCTTGTTCCTTCAATGTGCCCATTATTTTCCTTCCCTGTGTTCTCCTGCAGATCTCCTATATTCCAGATAGTTTCCCATCTTAGATGTCATGTAGTCCTTGAAAACTTCCTCTGAGACAGGTGTTGGTCTTCCCACTTTGCAGACAAGGTCACTGAGACTCCAGGAAGTGTGGTTTATCCAAAGCCTCACAGGCAGAGTTCTGTATCACTCCTCTTCTCTCCCAGCTGAGATCTGGGGACCAGAGTCTCCAACACCAGTAGGGAAAGAAAGTATAGGAGGGAAGGGTAGRCAGGGAGAGCTGGTGCTCATGGATAAAACACTGTGAACTAGAAATTGTGCTTTGTGCTTTTTTATTTGGGAGGGAGGAAYCAGGGATTGAATATAAGGGCACTCAACCACTGAGCCACATTCCCAGCCCTATTTTATATTTTATTTAGAAACAGGGTCTCACTGAATTGCTTAACGCCTTGCCTTTTGCTGAGGCTGGCTTTGAACTCGTGATCCTCCTGCTTCAGCCTTCCCAGCTGCTGGGATTACAGGTATGCACCACCGCTCCTGGCTGCTTWGTGCTTTTCAGTGTGTCCTTTAATCCCCACAACAATCCTGTAGTCTTACTCTCTCCATTAAGAAAAAAATGTAAGAATAACAAAATACATATACACTATAAACATCAAATTAGAGGGCTGGGGATGTTGCTCAGGGGTAGAGCAATTGCAAAGGTGAGGCCCTGGGTTCCATCC